TTTCCTCAGCCCACTGTCATCCCACCGACGATCCATCTCCTTGGCAAAATCCGCAAGAGCTGAGTCTCAAGATGCGCAGCGTAAAGTTGAACAAGGTCTGCGCCATGTCCACCTCCGTACACGATCAGGATTTCGTCTCTCACCTGGCCCGCTCCTGTCCAGAAAAAGTGATCCCTGCTTTCGGTGAGTGTGCGCTTCGCTGTGCTCCCAAATCGATGGTGTGGGGCGGCGCAGAGGGCAGATTCGTGAGGGAAAAGGTTGCGCGCTTGTGCATGTGGGCTTGCACACCTCGACGAAATGCCAAAGCTGAGTGCACGCATGACTCGCATTCGTCGTATTCCAACCCCCTCCTCTCCTCCTCCTTGCAAACAGGCTATCATCCCTGGTTCGCCCATCAAATCTCGCTCTGCAATTCCACTACCAAAGAAGATCATTACCGTTCCCTCTTTCTCGCTCAGGCCGATGCAGTACCCTCTTCCCGCACGCTGGAAGCGAAGAAGGAATTGGAAGATCTGCTTCCTCATCTGCCCCGTCCTATCGCCTTGTCCGACATCATCCAGACGCTTCGAAGGAATCTGCAAGACCATCCGACGGCTTTGGTGGGAGAAGTGGGAATGGATAGGATTTTCAGATTACCTATGAGCGCGCATGGATATACCAGGGATCCCAGTCTGAGATCTACAGGTGCGAAGGCGGACGAGGAGGGGTTGTATTCGATTACAGCGGAACAAGAGAAGCAGGAGGAAGAGGAAGCGGTCAACGAGGGCTCGGACGAGGTGCACGCGACTGGGCTTGCTCAAGAGGATGCCCGTGTTCACGGACACGGACTAGGCAAAAGAAATCGAGCTCTGAGTTCTTTGAGCACACCTCTATCTCATCAATTGTCCATCCTGAGCGCTCAAGTGCAAGTGGCCATCTCTCTTCGACGAAGTGTCAGCTTGCACAGCGTCAAAGCTGGCGATGCCACGTTGGCTTGGGTGCGGGAGATGAATAGACGTTGGCCTGGTAGCGGTCGACGAACGAAGCGTGTGCTGCAGCCCAGCAAGAAGGAGAAGCGGGATAGGGAAAAGGCTTGGAGGGAGGGTAGGGGAGAGGAGATTACGCAGAACGATTTGAAAGAGGCTATGAGCGACGAGATCGTCTTTGGATTTGAAGATATCAGTGAGTTGCATAGAGCGGAGGAGCGGGGTTGCATGGCAGAGGAGGTGGGGGCCCATGGAGGGAGGCATCCTCATGGACATTTCTCCTCCCTGGCGTGCGCTCCTCGCCTTTGGCTCATCTCTCTCGACTCATACTGCGCCTCGCGATTACGTCACTCGCACGCAAGATGTGGACCTGCACAGCTGCTCCCTCTCCGCCGAGATGATCCGCACCGTG